GGTTTACAGCTATGATGCAATATAATTTCCAATTAGTAGCCTTTTACGGCATGCTTGTTGGGGGAAGGGGGCAGTGGGTCTATTCTTTTTCCCCCCGAAAATGGGACTTCTCAACTCACACGGGGTGACTTCAGATGATTAAATCTCTACTGCTAATCAGCCGTCTGATAACGGTAAGACTATAAGACTATCTGCACTTCTGTATCCGTGTTAATCGCCGTATCTGACACTACAGTTTATGTATACTGTGTTAGTCCTGAACATGTTTACTAACGATAACAGGCGCCTGGGATCGATATGATAATAGTTTATGGTATATTTTTTTTTTTTACTTCCTCTTCTTCTTCTTCTGCTTCTTCGCATTCGCCGACTGTAAACTCTGGCGGAGTTGTTCACTCACCTCCGGACTTCAGGCTTGTTCCAGAACATGAGCGTTGCGTGCACATCTGCTTTACATATCTTACTTATTTTGTATGCAGACTGTTGGCTCCTAGCCTCTCATGCAGATGCACTTAGAATTGGTCGACTCTTGCGACATGCTTGTTGGGGAGGCAGTGGGTCTATTCTTGTTTTCCCCACAATGAGGCCCCGGAGCCCACACGGGAAGGTAAGGGTCATGAAGTGGCTGCTACGCCCAAAGGTTTAGAAGGTAAGGGTCATGAAGTGGCTGCTACGCCCAAAGGTTTAGAAGGTAAGGGCCATGAAGTGGCTGCTACGCCCAAAGGTTTAGAAGGTAAGGGTCATAAAGTGGCTGCTACGCCCAAAGGTTTAGAAGGTAAGGGTCATGGTTTCGCTCTGTCGTTGCTTTAATTCCAGATTGGGCTTTGAGTCTACAAGGCAAAACTTTCTGCATCCAGTAAGGGGACTTTTTTAACATAGAAAACCCACAGTTGAGATGCCTGAATACGAATTTGTAAAGCAAAAATTATTCCTTCTACTTAGTGAGTGTAGCCTTGGTCAATCCTAGTTATCACCATTTTATCATGCTGAACGGAATCACAATTTTTTCGGGCTGAACGGAGTTTCTTGGCTTAGCTCCAGGTGAATTGACGTCCGGGTCAATATAGTGTCAAACCTTCAGGCAGAAGTCCAAGAAGGGTGAAATAGTCATTCATTCTTTCTCATTAGAGTATCATATCTCACGTTGAAATTTTAAAACATGTGAGTAAGTAAGTAAACTCATGCAAATGAATCAAAAACGAACCCATAAAGAAGGATTTGAAAGATGCTTTGAAATGGTGTAAACAAAAACCAGTTTCTGAATGAAAAATCATGCAAATAAAAAGATCAAACTTACTGTTTAACTAAAAATGTTTCAATGTTCCCATGCTTTAGTTTCGAAACCGAAGAAAACCAGTATAAGATTACTGAACCATTCTTCTGGTTATGCCAACTAGTTACAATCGAAAATTATAGAGAAAAGAAATAAACTAGTTAGTTACCGTATCCAGTGGTCCTTTTATCTACCAACACAATAAAAAGACGACAGACAATGAAAAACTGCAAGTACATTAGAATGTATGTCAATGGGACTATCTGAAATAGTGTGCTTAATATGACAGGGGTGATGACACAAAGAAAAAACTTGGGAGGGGGGCGTTTCAAGTGCCTAAGCCATGTTTAAGAGCTATAATAATAAATATTATTATTTATTATATATTTTCTGACATGGAAATAAATATATATCATTTTAAAAAAACATAAGTATAAAAAACCCTTAAAAAGTACTTCTAGGCACAGTTAGGGAATACCTTAGGCCTCTTACAAATTTAAAGACCGAGTCATTCCCTTCTAAAGCTTCTAGAGCAGTGGCTCTCAACCTTCCTAATGCTGGGACTCTTTAACACAGGTCCCTCATGTTGTGGCGCCTCCCAAACAAATATTTTCCTTCATAACTTGTATGAATATGCGATTTCCTATGGTCTTAGGTGACCTCTGTGAAAGGGTCGTGACCAGCAGGTTGAGAAAAGCTGCTCTACAGTGTGATAACTGTGGTGGTTGCAGCCATATTTACAGAATTATAGGAGACAGCAAATATTAGAAATCCACTAAAGATTATTTTAAGGGTTTGGCTTTGATGACATGAGTGTGTTGTGTGGCAATAGTAGTGGCAAAAGACAGTCTTCTACCTGGGATTCAAGGGACCTAGACCTTATTTAAGAGCACAATAAAAATAATAATATTAATTTGCTGAATGGCAAATCAGTATAATAGATTTGATATAATATGCAATATATAAACACATTAAATGAGAGCTTTTATACATAGTCAGGGTGAGCACCGTTTAACTACTTTACAGATTACATCATTATTATATAGGGAGCAGTTTAGCTTACTTTTAACACTTTTCTGGTTGCGGGGGTGGGGGGGTGGGGGGCTCAAAGTGTATAAGGAAACAGGTGATGGTGCCCCTGTGCAGAAGCACACCATCAAACAACAAAAGACAATGCAACATTAGAAATATACTGTACATTAAATATGATATTAATGGAATGGTTTTAGTGGCATGGTGTGGTAGTTTGGGAAGTAGCAGCAGCATGCAACGAATGAAATATTAGGACATTAGAGATTATATAATAATATGTAATAACTAAAACATTTCAAGAATGTACAGTTTTTGTTGTTTGTTTTTTTTCAAACTTTTTACTTTACTATAGATTTTTAAGAAGCATTATAGTTGTCAGCTTGCCCAGATTTAGACCATTTCTATAGAAATCCAAATTTATACAAATTAACACTGTACTTTTCTGCAACTGGGAGTCGCCGTGTTAGAGCAGCTAGATGAGTGCTGCAGATCAGAAGGTCGTGGGTTCACTCACTGGCGGAGCCAAACTTTTCTTCAAAAATTACTTTGGCTCCCAGGTCAACCCAGCCTTGAGTGGGTCCTGGGTGCAGTCCCAGGAAGTAAAGGCGGGCAGCGCGATGCTGACCACATCAGCCATCTTGTGCTTGGTCTATAAAATATAGGTCTAGCCCTATATGCCCTAACCGCCTAAAGGCGTGGAAAAGGGTCCTTTACTTTATTTTACCCTGTGCTATCAACATCCCTTCTCCTTGTCTTCTGCTGGAGAAAATCTACATATTTACAGTACTGGTGATTCATTCTTTCTTTTCCATTCTATTCTATTCTGGGTTTTGTGTACTTTAATGTAACTAAGTTTTCGTGAGTCAAAAACAATACAACTATGGGAGAAAAAAAGCTACAGTAACAACTGGGATAGAAGTAACAGAAAATGGGATAACAGAAGTTAAGAAATGCATACCTCACATATAGCAATCAAAAAGAGTACATTCAGTTGCAAGGTAGTTTAAAAGTCAAACTCAGTTAGCCAAATAAGCAGACTGAAAGATCCTTATTTCTTTTGCTTTGTTCTTTAAATTCTTTCAACAGTACAATGCGTTTATTGCAACATACATTTAGTGCCCAGTTATGTAATCATATCTCTCCTCTTCTTCTTTTTAGCAGAACTCGGTGATCAACTCCAGCAAACAGTTCTGGCTGTTCATCCACTTGTGAACTCTGGTCTTTTTCAGAACAAGTTTTGCTTGCACATCCATTTTACCAATCTGGCTTATTGGTATGCAGACTGTTGGTTCCTTGCCTCTCAGGACAGGCGGACAAACAGGCAGGTATTTTATCTTGAGGGGGTCTTTGTGGCAAAGTGGTCAAGCTGTCTGCCTCATGCCCTGAAGGTCGATGGTCCATTTCAGAATGGTGCTGTTCAGTTTATGAGTGCAACTACTGGGAAGATCCCTGGGGATCATCGCCAAAGCTATGGAGTTTGTGCTCTGCCATTCTGTGGAGAGAGTCGGGGCCAGTGAGATAAAACCCGGTGCAATGAAGTTGATCCTCTCGACTTTAACCTTTCAACTTTAACCTATTTCATGTCAACAAACTAAAATCTTATTCCCAGGATTAATGGTCAGTGAATTAAAAAAACATAAGTTATGTTTAGAAAGGTTAGCAATGACACACTTTAAACTCCGACAGAATGTCATGACTGTTCATCCACTTTCAGACTTTTGTCCTGTTCCATGAATGGAGTTTTGCATAACCATCTGTTTGACAGATCTGGCTTACTTGTGTGCCTCTTAGGTAGGTGCACTCCACTTTAGATCCTCTTTATAGTAGCAAGGCCCTAAGATTAGGAAATCTGTTTCAAGGATCACCTTTCTGAGAGGTAAAGACTGGTCGTGACAAGTAGGAGCCATGGTCCTGGTGCTTTGTTTGTTTATTCAATGGATCAACATCATGGCACAAGGTAATTAACCCAAAAATGCTCCTTTATACTTCTAACATAAGCACGAGTCTGAAGTCTCTCAGCACAGTGTACAAACACTGTTGCACCAGTGAGGATCCTGAAATACTTTGGGCAGATTACGCTAGTCTTTATGGATTTCCAACTGCCAATGTATTTTTTACGTGCGCAGTAATACATACGGGCATCCGGTCTTACTTCACAAAGACCAGGGGAAATTACTAGAAGTGCACATGAAAAAATCCCAGCCTTCACCAGGGTTTGAACCCGGGACCTTCAGCCCTTGAAGCTGTTGCCATATCTCAAGACCACTCAGCCCTCTCCTGGTGCAAAACCATGCGTAGTTTAGCACCTCTTTATCCTGCACTGACACTCAAAATAAGCACATAAAACAAAGCATAACCTGCACTGTACTATCAAAATGATTCTATTTCCTGTGTGGATTCCGGGGCCCTATTAAAGGGAAAACAAGAATAGAACCACTGCCTACCCAAAAGCATGTCGTAAGAGTCGACTAATTGGGAGCCTCCTTCGAAGTCGGAGTGCATCTGCCTGAGAGGCAAGGAACCAGCAGTCTGCACACAAATGAGTCAGATCTGTAAAACGGATGCACACGCAACACTCAGGTTTTTGGAACAGGACTGCAGTCCAGAAGTGGATGAACAACCAGAACTTTCCGCCAGAGTTTACAGCTGGTGACCGCGAAGAAGAAGAGGAAAATGATCCTATAAATATAATTACCTGTGCAAAACATTTTATGCTTCTATTCATCAGCAACGTCAAACGATGCTGGGAGGCAACCATGTCTTTAGATATCTGTTTGTACTGCCTTGAGTTGCGGTCCTTGAAGTTCTTCAATTCTGAACTCAGTAAGTTAAAATTCTCCTGTTCCTTTGCCATCTCTTTTTGAAGATCAGAAATGGTATCCATCAGGTCCTTGAAAGAGAGAAGACATTCTTGTTGACTATTGCTAACACAATGCTGTTTTCCTTGTATTTTATTTTAACTTATTCAGTACCAAGCAATCGGAAGATTATTGGTTAACTTGTACATAATATTTACTTGTGAACCCCTCTCAACTCATCTGGGATAGCAGAGAACATAAGGGTGGTACTTGCTATAACCGTTACAGGTTTCGATAGACTATTCATGTCTCTGTTGATAAATAGGGCACCTACAAATTATCTCCACTGCTGCAAGTCTGCTGTTTTCTGCCTACTATATCCCATCTCACTTTGCATTCCTCCATTTCTCTTTCTACTATCATTTTCCAAGTTCCATTAGGGAACAGGGAAACAGTCAGAATTTTGAATTAAGAATTGACACCGCAGCCCTTGGGACACTCCCAAAAGCACTCTGTCCCTATCTTCAGCAGCAAGCGAAGAGTTTAAATTCTGATGGTACTAGTAACTGTCTGATTGTACATCTGTCTCGCTTTTCCTCCGAGTGTTGAGCGTCGGCCAGATCCCCTGGTAACTAAATGCAGCACCTTTCTTCTCAGACCATGATGATCTGTTTGTGCCTCCTCATGTTTACTCACTCCCAAGGGGCCCTTACAATATTTAGCATGTCATAGGTCAATTTACAACCAAGTGATGCAGAATCGACTAGTCTGTCTGCCTGCTCATTTCCCAACGCACCAGAATACCTGCAGAAAATATCCAAAGAACACTAACTATCCGGGACCTCTGAAGCAATGACTGCCACTAGGCATGGAGCATGCCTGTCCTCACCTTCTCAACGTTATCTGTGAGTCAGTTACAATAACGACATGCATGTACAGCTGATTCTCAAGACAGCTGAAGGCAGCAGTGACTGCTTCCAAATCCATTCTCAAACTAGACATTGTGATATCATATGCCAGGCTTTGTTGCATTAGGCAACGTCCATTCGCATTTGCTATTAACCCCCATGCACTTCGTCTACCTCTCAACCTAGGGCCATCTGTACAGATAATCCCATCACCTGGGCAGAAACTGTCTTGAACTGATTGTTGAACGCCTTATTCTGCAGCACCAGCCGACCAGTCCCCGCACTCATGACCTAAGGTGATTAGAACCCTACAAAAGTCTTCTGTCTCATAATATTACCAGTTTAACTACATCAGGTTTAACTATCAAATACAATTTGTTAGGAGGTAAAGAGTGTGTATAATAAAAGTCTGAGACCAAAAAAAAACCATTATATTACGCTAAAATTCTTCTGTTTTATTTTTGCTCTACGTCAACATAAATACATTAAAATAAATGAAGCAGCAGTTAACTCTTTGAGTCCCAAGGAACACATGATACATACATATTTTACTGCCTTGAAGCCCAATAAACACATGATGCGCCGATTTTACGTCTTTTGACTACCTCTTGGGCCTGTGATGTTAAACTCTCTGGGACTCAAAGAGTTGAGTTAGGCTGCTGACATCTTTTTATGCCAAATTTGTGACCATTTGCAAATAAAGTCATTATCTGTTTAATGCAGTTCAAATTTTCAAAATCTGTAACTGGTCAAGCTGTTATATGCTTGGCTCTCATTCAAGAAACCTGGGTTTGAATCACTGGTAAGGGAATAGACACTTTTTTTTTAACTGAGCAAAAAAAAACAAATTAAAGCCTGCATAGTTCATGTCGACTGCACTAGCCAAATAATCCTAAATCCTCAGGTTAAATAGAATCAGTAGACAAATTGTGTTTGCTGTTATTTAAAAAGCTAAAACTAATTAAGAGTTTTCTTTAATAGTTAAAACATAAAGTGGAAACCTACACAAACTCAAAACGATAGGAAATATTTCCATCTTGCCTTTGTTAGGTAACAAGTATGCATAATGAAAAGATGTGACAAACTTAACAAAAATTACACACACACAATAAAAGTATCACCTTGATTGCCATTTCCTGGATACTTTTAGAGAAATCTTCCTCATTCATCTTCAGCAGTTCTGCACCAGTCATTTTTTTCCTTTCTGTTGTCACCTGTAAGAAACCAAATGTGAAAAAATACAGTTGTTGTTACCAGTATACAATGCTGATTTATATGGCTTAGGTGTTCAATAAGGTTCATAATTCCAAAATACCTGATTTAATTCACTGATGGAAATTTGACAGCAGACCACTTTGCACTGATTTCGGCAATGATACGCAGCATCATCATTAAACAATTGCAGACTCATCATCGTCATTACGTAACAGGTCTTTTGGAGAATGTCGCTCTCATCACGGTCTGAAGAAACTCGGTCTCTCGCCAGCTATCCTGCCTCATGTACTTTCATACTCAAGGAGTCACTTATAACCTGTGCCCATCTTCGTGTCGGTCAGCCCCTGCGTCTCCTTCCTGCTACCATGCCTTCTGCCTTAATTTTTTCCAATCCGTCGTGGTGCTTGATATGACCAAAAATGGCAGAATACTGAATGTAAAATTGCCTTTAAAAAAATCGCAAACAGCCAACTACTGTTCTTCTTTGTTCGCCGGCTGTAAGCTCAGACTGAAAGTCCTGACCGTTCATCCACTTGGACACTGGCTTTGAACTCTGTGTGTACATCCGTTTCACTGGTTTATTTGTGTGCAGTTAGTTTGTTGCTCCTTGCCACTCGGAGAGATGCATTCCGATTTTGAAGGCACCCCCCACCCCTCCGCACAAATTAGTCGATTCCTACGACATGCTTGTTGGCAGGGCAGTGGGTCTATTCTTGTCTTCCCCATTATGGAACACCCGGAACCCACACGTGAAAAACATCAAACAAATGCTGGGGTTGGTTTGCAACATTATATGTGGGATATGCAATTAACCACCAAATGTTGTTATACAAATATTTATACATAAAAACCAGCACAGCATACCATCAAACAGTGTCATCAGCTTCACAGCCCTTACCACACATGACTGCAGGGCCCATCACTTAGTGTGACCGTCACAGGTGCACTGATTATAACTTCTTAGAAGTTTGAAGACAGTATAAGAGATTTTCCCCAGTTGGTTTGCCATCCTTCTCAGTGTTTACTGGCTGTAAATGTCAGAGTTCTGGCTGGCTGTCCACTTCTGGTGTTTAACTCTTTCAGTCCCAGACGGCATAGCATCAGAGGCCCACGGGTGGTAAAGAGAAACCTATAATCAGTGCCTCTTGCGTTGATTGGGCTTTTAGGTAGGAACATATGAATGCATGAAGCGTTCCCTGTGACTGAAAGAGTTAGTCTTATTCCAAGACTTCAGGTCTGTGTGTGAATCCATTTTACATACCTGGCTTATTTAGAAGTAAAGAAATATATCTGCGTCTTTCAATCAGCACACACAGAAGTGAAAGTACAAAGTAAAGATCTGAAGACATTTTCATCATCAAGTATCGTGTCATCTGGTTAGGGTAGGAGATCATAAGTTTGTTTATGTTTATTCGACGGATCAACATCATGGCACATGGGTGTAACGCCTAAGTTACCCGTTCTCAGTGCATTGCACGAACTCCATTGTACCGACGAGGACCCTGAAATGTTTTTAGTAGATTTTTAACTCCAAATTATGCCCGGGCAGCGCCATTAGGCTACTTTTCTCGATTTCCAACTGCCATGGGGTATTTTACGTCTGCAACAATACACACGGGCGTCCGGTCTTACTACCCAGAGACCAGGGAAAATTACTAGAAGTCCATGTAAAAAAAAATCCTAGCCTTCACTGGGGCTTGAACCAGGGACCTTCCAGCACTCGAGGCGGACACTCAGCCCCCCAGGGGGATCATAACTGGTGGTAGTGCTTTGCTGGAAACTAATAAAAAATCGTCAGATCCAACCAGCATCCCCGAAGGGTGGCACTCAGGGTTTTAATTGTGACTAGGTTATGTGTGCCACACAAAATGGCTTTGCAGTGCACGCCACCATGATCCCTGACAAGGACCCCTGCAGTGTTGATGCTATCAAAGGAGACAGACCCAAATGCTGTCCCGACCGACCACGAAGTCGTCTACCGGCAAACGAGTTGGCGACTCGGTCACCAGTGTCGATCATACTTTTCTACATCTACATATTATGGGCGGTATATGATGGGTGTGTATAAGTGTGAGTATATGAATGTGTATATAAGCTAGCTTTTCTGACTGTGTCTGTGTATGTATGTGTGTGTGTTAATGGGTATTTGTGAGTGAGTGTGTGTTTGTATGTGGGTATGAATGTATGAATGTATGCATATGTAGGACATTCGATTTATGTGTATTTATGAATGTCTGAGTTTAAATGTATGTCTGTGTATTTATAAATGTGTTAGTGAGCTGCGTGAATGAATGTGTGTATATGTGTATGTACATGTGTGTGTGTGTACAAATGTATATATGTGTGTGTGTGAATAATGAATGCACGTGTGTGGTGTGTATTATATTTGTATGAGTGTGTATCTATGTATGTATGTATGTTAGTAGTAGTAGCAGGAGATTTTACCACACCAGGACATCACACAAGCGATAAACACCCGATGACACAAAGTGCCACCATGTCAATAAGGATCACCGATAGAGAGGTCTCAGAAAACACGTTTAGCCATGAGACAATATTTATGGCCGGGCTATATTGCGTCATCTGGCAAATGCCAGGCTGGGGCTTCAAAATAATGAAAAATTGCATGTTACAAGAAGATCAAATGCATGTGTATGTTAGTTTTGGGTATGACTTTTATTTTGGAATGAATGCAGTAACCATGCATGGTTTTAGGTAATTTACTTGATACTCGCATAATGCATATTGTTAATATCAAGATAATATGCTTTCGATAAAAAATATAACTGCAATATGAAAGATGAGTGTTTGGATGGGCCGAATGTAAGATTGGCCTGTGTGCTCAATGTGTGACCATTTGAAAATGGGTTGAAAGCAAGACATTAGGTGACTTTATGGGATATAACAATCTTAAAAACTAAAGGGAGGGGAGAAAACCGAAGGTGAAGATCCAGATGGCTTAAAAGCTAGAAATGAACAGAGAACATCAAGTTATGGCCCGAATGCAGAGTAGTGAAATATTTTACGAACGCGCAGCAGAAATACTGCTGATGATACCTCGCCCTGAAGTTTCTGCACTGTGATGATCACGGTCCGCAAAGAAGCCTGTTGTGATGTCTGATATAACAGAGAATTCACCTGGCTCGCTAACCTAGTTGGCTAAAGCGGACTGCGCGACGACAGGGTGACAAACTCCTTGTGGTCCAGGTTCACGCCAGGGGTTGGGCAGAAAAGCCACATTTCTCCAAGATTTACGGTATTTATCATGGAGTCAAGGCTAAAGGGTTGCGATGTCCATAGTACCGAGCCAAGGGGTTATGAACTTATGGTTTCTGGATATTTAAAAAAAAAAGAAGAGAGAATTCGTAGTTAAAGAGCAGGACTGAGAAGCGGCTGGCCAAACGGTTAAAACTTTGGCCTGTCAAAAAGGGACCTTGGTTCGAATCCTCGGTAAGGTTAAGGATTTTTTTTCTGCCAGGGGCAAAATAAAATCCTCAGCTGCACAGTCGTGGCAACAGCACTAGCCTTGCAGCCATAAATTCTCAGCCTCAAAGACCACCCTATCGACACCGCATTTTAGCTGACTTATTTATATTTGCAGCCTTCTGGTTAACGCATCAGGTGGCGGGAGAGGGCGGGACATACCACCCATATCCGTCTATGCGTTACTTGGTAACCGTTTTGTGGTTCCCCAAAATAAACCTATATGGTGTCAATTGATTGGTGGAACTCTAAGGTATTCTTGTGTGAAATTTATGTAATTTCACTTACTGCATTACAAAGATGAAGAATGTCAAAATTGTGAGTTTGTTTGTTCCTTTCAGTAACTATTCGTTCCTTTTTTTTTTAACAGTATATTATTTCAGTTATAACATATGCCAGTAAATGTTACAAACATTAAATGAGATTAATTCAAGAAAAGTGAGGAAATAAGAGAAATGTCCAGACAACTGGTGTGAATTAAGAGAAATGTCCAGACAACAACTGGTGGGAATTAAGAGAAATGTCCAGACAACAACTGGTGGGAATTAAGAGAAATGTCCAGACAACAACTGGTGGGAATTAAGAGAAATGTCCAGACAACAACTGGTGGGAATTAAGAGAAATGTCCAGACAACAACTGGTGGGAAATAAGAGAAATGTCCAGACAACAACTGGTGGGAAATAAGAGAAATGTCCAGACAATAATTGGTGGGAAATAAGAGAAATGTCCAGACAACAACTGGTGGGAAATAAGAGAAATGTCCAGACAACAACTGGTGGGAAATAAGAGAAATGTCCAGACAATAACTGGTGGGAAAAAGAGAAATGTCCAGACAACAACTGGTGGGAAATAAGAGAAATGTCCAGACAACAACTGGTAGGAAATAAGAGAAATGTCCAGACAATAATTGGTGGGAAATAAGAGAAATGTCCAGACAACAACTGGTGGGAAATAAGAGAAATGTCCAGACAACAACTGGTGGGAAATAAGAGAAATGTCCAGACAATAACTGGTGGGAAAAAAGAGAAATGTCCAGACAACAACTGGTGGGAATTAAGAGAAATGTCCAAACAACAACTGGTGGGAATTAAGAGAAATGTCCAGACAACAACTGGTGGGAAATAAGAGAAATGTCCAGACAATAACTGGTGGGAAATAAGAGAAATGTCCAGACAATAACTGGTGGGAAATAAGAGAAATGTCCAGACAACAACTGGTGGGAAATAAAAGAAGTGTCCAGACAATAACTGGTGGAAAATAAGAGAAATGTTCAGACAATAACTAGTATCAACACTTATAAGACAACACAAATATGACGCTCTATGTGGCACATCATGAGAAGAAGCCAGCAGAGAATCATCAAACAGGCAGTGAAATGGGAAACAATTTGACTGAAGAAATTCAGTTTCAGTCTCAACTTCACTGCAATTGCCCCACACACACACACACACACACACACACACACACACACACACACACACACACACACACACA